GTAGGAATTACTTGCTTTAATGAAAATACATGAAACATTTATATATTTCTCTATATTTTTATATATTTGATACCAGTACAATAATCAGTCAGATTATCCTTTAGGCTAGTATAGACTGCAGTCTAGTGTCCCTCAAGCTTTTATAAAGCCATGATTTTAATTTTCTAGATGTATTAACTTCTAAATAGTTTCATAAACTGAAGTGATATCAATATGACACTCATATTTATTTGATTTTGCAGGAAGCAAAGCAAGAAAAAGAATGTTTTAGTTTGTGTCATTGTGTTTAAAGTAGATAACATGTTTGATTTTACTTCAGAATGTTTAAATCTTAAATTTTTATAAAGCAGTGATTTTAATAATGTAGATGTTATAACTTCTAAGTAGTTTCATAAACTGAAATCACGTCACTGACAACTTCATATTTGTTTTATTGTTAGAGTGCTGGTTATAAAACTTTTTTTTTTACTATGGTTGTGTTGAAATATATGCTAATTTGATTTGTAATAAATATTAAAATAGTGGTATATCTTAAAGAATATTTTCATTGGCAAATATAGTTTATTTAAAGAATTTGCAGTAAGTTTACTTCAAGCTATGTAAATGTTGCTAAAATATATCATGATTAAAAGATATTCAACATGGGAGCAGGTGAGTTAGAGGGTGGCTCCATCTGATTGGGTGGGTGTTGTAATTTCATTAGCCTAGTGGCCCCAAAAGTTCATAATCCAGCCCTGACAATAATACTTTAATTTTAGGACTATATGAGAAATAATCCCACATATTTCGAGAACATGACATTTAGCATGCCAAAAACAATGAATAGCTGATGTTAAATAAAAATCCTTGTTTATAAAATAGACATGGATACAGAAAGAGGAAAAAAAAGTTTTAGGCTGAATTGAAAATAGTTTGTCCTTTTTATTGCAATAATTTCAAAAAATTATTTTTCTATATTTTAAACCAGACTTTTCTTTAATTGGATTTGTAAAATTTTTATATCTCAATCCCTAAATGGAAAAATCATTAAAAATATGTTAATTAACAATTTCTTTTCCTATAATTCATTTCCTTGAAGAAATTTTCTTTCTGCTTAAAAAAAATAATATCTATTTGTTTTTTTTATATAAACAAGATAAGGTACTTGATACATTTTTCAATATTATGAAAAGTACATTGACTTCGCTTAAAGACCACCTCTGCGCAAATAGTTTTTGTTGGTACTAATAAGGAAAAAAAATTGACTGCTGTTCATTGATACTAATTATAAATAAATAAAAAAAAAAATATATAAATTATCAAATTGACCCATTTTTGTTGTGGGCTGAATTTTTGAAGCATATATAACACAAAACTAATGTTTTTTAAAACCCAGAAAATAAGTATGTCAGATGAATTTTAATGAATTTTAAAATATTTCCAAATACTCCAGGACAAATAAAAACTTGGAAATTATGCAAGCTTGCAAGAAAAATATCTGTTAAAGTATTTACTATTTGCAAATCTTATGCAATCATTCCAGTTTTCTAATGATTGTGCTTATTTTAAAAAAAAAAGAAAATTAAAATGCCTGTAAATGCCTGTAATAAATACACTTTTTTTTCTTAATTCTAATCTAAAGAGAAAAAAAATTTTGTCAGCAGAAAAAACAGCATTCCAAATGCAATGTTATCCTGGAAGTGTTCATAAAATCTGATGTTGATGTGTGATGTATTGAAACTAGGGATTGTAGTAGTACACACAAACTTCCAAATTTCTTTGATTTATGAATTTAATGAAAAAATGTGCATTTTTCAGTCACTTTTGAGGAACGTGTACAAGGAAATTTAGACAACCTTTTCCTTTTTTTTCTTTTTTTATTCATATTTTTAAAAATTTGAGTGAGGAAACAGATGGAATTTAAAATGTAAATAATTTAAAACTTTATAGATTTTCTTTCTTCTAAAAATTGGTTCCTTTTTTTTATATTAAGTTTGAATTTTAATAAAATTTGTGTTTACAAATATATATTGTAAACTCACTAGCATGAGCAATCGTGAGCGATGTCTTTACACCTCTCAGTGTCCATTGCCATGTCCCTTTTGCAGACATCCTCGAAGCAAACATGAGGTTGCCCTCTTGCCAGTGGCCAGTTCCCTATACAGAAGGACCTTCAGAATCCTTCTGTATAGCATATGTTGTACATGTCCAGCAGAACTAGCACTGTTGAAGAGGATCTTATAAGCTGGGTAACTGGGCACAGGTCAGAACTACAGTGTTGGTGACTTGGTTAGACTAATTGATATCCAGAATGCATCTTGGACAGTGAGGATGAAAGGTGCTGAGGCATCACTCCTATATGGAGGAGATGCTTCAAGTCTTACTGCCATAAAGAAGCATGCTGATGATGTGTTCTTTCCAAGGTACAGGTCTGGACAGTGTTTTATGAGATATCGGTGGTTATCCCATGCAGCACATCTCTCCTCTCCACACCACCAATGTTGTCCAAGGTAGACAGCTTGACACCAGCATTGTTGCAGGAGTTGCCAGAAGGAAGTTGAACATAACATTGGACTGTCTAAGCAACTCTGATTCTGGATTTGTCCTCAGAGTTTACTCCAGAAGCCTTTCCCATGATTGAGTATGGCTGCAAAGTGGTGGGAGTTTAATATTATATATATTTCAGGTAGATGGAACTTGTCAGTTCATCTAAGAGCAGGAAAACTCTCCCATCATATTTGAGGTATGAGTGTCAAGCAACTCAGTTCCTTGGAACTGACAGCCAGACACCTGCATATATGATTTGATTATAGTGGTGAAGGCTTTGTGCAGAAGCAACCACACTTTTTGAAGAGGCGAATACAGAGACCTGGTACACTACATGCCACAAGGTTCCCAAACAACCTTCTGCAGGTTTTGAATTTAGAGTTGTCCTTCTATACCAGTTGCCATCCAAGGCTATAGAACCCTGTCTGTCCTGCTATTTACCCATATTGGGGGGGGGATTCACACCTTTCCCCTTTCCCCAAGAGTATTAGCACATAAGTGAATGTAATGGATTTGACTTCAAATTTGAATTCAAATTTTGCTCTCTGATTCCTCAAACTGAGCCACTATGCATTACTCCACTGTGCTTCCTCATATATATATATATATGTATGTATATATATATATATATATATATATATATATATATATATATATATATATATATATATATATATATATATATATATATACACACACACACACCCCTTTTCATTGTGTAAACAATCACTACTGATTAGTGAGTTTGTTCCTCATAACATTCTTTATAATTTTCACTTTGTGCCAAATGTAATCTAAGCTTAATAAATGCCTGTGTGTACATGGTTACACACTCAATAAATAAATGTTTCTGGTATTTAAGTTTGAAACCATAAAAGTAAAAGCAGACAAGAAAGTTTCTGTCTTTGTCTACAGATTTTGTAAAGATAATCATGTTGTCTATATGTTCATTGTTCTTTTACTTGTTTTCTTGTAAATGTAAGACAAATATAAGTGCTTTGAATGCTGTGTTAGAGATAAGTGTTTTCCCACTGCATGGAAAATAGTTTATAGAAATTAATATACAAATAGATTTGTCTGAACAATTGGATACATGTGCATGCACCAATATAAAATAATAGGAAACTCACCCGGTTTTAAAAGCAAGTGATCATTTATAGTTTATATTAGTGTTTCTCAACTTTTTTCACTTCAGTGCACGTTTGTTAAATAACTAAAACTCTGGGGTGCTCTTTAAATTTTACTAGGGAAAAATAAGTCATGAAATTTGAAAATAGGAATGTAATAAAGAAGTCTTCTGAAATAAACATTTATTTTTAAGACATTATATTGCTTGGTCTCTCTAGCTTTTTAAAATAAAGATTTTTTTTAAATATAAAAATAATTTATAAATTACTCTTCTGTAAACTTGGTGCACACCTGGCTACATTTCAGGACACATTACTGCACTTGGGCACACTGGTTGAGAAACATTGGTTTATATTGTCCTCATAGAGTTAATAAATTTCTGAAGTTTAATACAATGCCTGTTTATTACATAATTATCTTAAAATAGTTTCAAAGTCATTTAAATCTTAAAAAAAACAATCTTTTAGTAGACCCTATAGATTTGTGATACAAAATCACACAAAAATGGTAATATTAACGGTTTCTTCATTGGGCATTTATTGACTGAACAGTCAATGCTACTTTTGGTTGAAATTTGTAAAATCTTTCCCTTAAAAACTGTTTTTCAGGAAAATAGGTTTCTCAAGTCCACTGTTATCTCTCTTTAAAACCTGAATCACTCAAATACTTCCAACAACAACAAAAATTGGTAGCACATGTAACTGGAAAGGAAAATACTGATATAATCATGATTTGTAAGAAAAATTTACATAAATACCAAAAATAATGATAACAATAGACTTGAAGTCTAATTTCCTTTTAAGAAAAAGATTTTATATATTTCAGTTGACATCAGCACTAATTTTTCAGTCAATGAATACCGAATGTTTCCTGTATGGAAATGGTTGATTCCAACATTACAATTGTCATGTGTAAGATAGAATTCTGCTTTTTAATTGATTAAAGTAAAAACATATCTAAATTAACAAGAAACAAAATAAAGAATAGCAACCTGATTACTCATACTTACTGAGATATTTTTTGTTATTGTAACACAAGAATACCTTTTGTTACCATAATAATGGAATATCTTAGTACTAAAAAAGATGTTCAGACTTTTTGACTAATAATCACATTGTGCTTTCTGACAGAACAAGTTACTAATAAATCCATGGTATGTCTTTATTCTGTTCCCAAGAAATGTTTTGATAAATTATTGTTCTATAATTTGGCCACAACCTATATAATCTAGTCTTTCACACACACATACATACACACACATATTTGTGGTTAAATTTCACCTGAGCTTGATCAAAAACTTGTGTTAGTCATATAGTGCTGTATTCTATTTAACAAGGATTTATCAA